GTCAACCCTTAATTATGTTCATTTTAATTTATAAAATATTTTTTTAAGGCTTGAAATTGTGTATTGTTAATTATATTTTTTTACAATAATATTTTATTGAAATTGTTTTTTTTTAAGTTCAAAATTACATGGTTAAAAATATTTATAAAATTTTTTTATATTTAATTTATAAAATTTTTATAATATTTTATAAGAAAAAAAGTTTTTTAAAAAAATCAAGAATAGGGGGATTAAAAAAAATTTAAAATGTTTTTTTAAAAAAATCATAATTAACGGCGAAATGTAAAAACGACTTTATTTTGATATTTTAAGTAACGGTCAACCTAGTTGACCATTACACTTAACGGAGATTAGACAATCTGAATCATATTTGCTCAATCTCAAATACTTTTAGTTCTTTGTTTATTTATATAATTTTAGAGCTTCAAATTTTTTTTAATCTACTTTTAGTTCTTTGTTTATTTTTTAATTTTTAAAAAAAATTGAAAAAATCATTTTCTTTTTATTTCTTCCTTTCCTTTTATAATTCTTCCATCTCTCTCCGTCTTCTTGATCTTTTAATTTAATTTTTTAAAATTATTTTATTAATCTTTTCATGTTATGATTCACAAACATCTAATTAATTACACTAAAAGATAGTCATGATTCGTTTCTACTCATTAACAATACTTAAGACTTTATTAATTACAGTTATATTTTTTCATGTATATATATAATAAACTTGACATTTGCAAATTTAATATAACGGTTACTAATATTTATAAAAAAAAAATCTATTTTTAAATAATTTATTACCACAACAATAAAACGAAAAAATAACTAATTTTCATTTATATTCTAGAGAATCTAAACCCCACTCTAAAAGAAATGATGAATAATTCTAGGATTATCTTCTCCTTTCAAATACAAGTTCGACAACATTATGATTGATTCATTGCTTAGAGAGAGAGAGAGAGAGAGAGAGAGGGGGGTGGGGGTGGGGGCAACAGCGATTTATCTATTGTAGTGAATTTGAAAAAATAAGTTCAAAATTATGGGATTAAAAATATTTATAAATTTTTTTATATTTAATTTATAATATTTTATAAGAAAAAAAGTTTTTAAAAAATTTTCAAGAATAGGGGGATTAAAAAAATTTTAATTTTTTTTAAAAAAATCATAATTAACGGTGAAATGTCAAAAACGATTTCATTTTGATATTTTAAGTAATTGTCAACGTAGTTAACCATTACACTTAATGGAGATTAGGCAATTTGGACCATATTTGTCCAATCTCAAATACTTTTAATTCTTTGTTTATATATATAATTTTAGAGCTTCAAATTTTTTTAATCTACTTTTAGTTCTTTGTTTATTTTTTAATTTAAAAAAAATTGAAAAAAAAATCATCTTCATTTTATTTCTCCCTTTCCTTTTATAATTCTTCCATCTCTCTCCGTCTTCTTGATCTTTTAATTGAATTTTTTAAAATTATTTTATTAATCTTTTCATGTTATGATTCACAAACATCTAATTAATTACACTAAAAGATATTCATGATTCCTTTCTACTCATTAACAGTACTTAAGACTTTATTAATTACAGTTATATTTTTTTATGTATATATATAATAAACTTGACATTTGCAAATTTAATATAACGGTTACTAATATATTTATAAAAAAAAATTCTATTTTTAAATAATTTATTACCAAAACAATAAAACGAAAAAATAACCAATTTTCATTTATATTCTAGAGAATCTAAACCCCACTTAAAAAGAAATGATGAATAATTCTGGGATTATCTTCTCCTTTCAAACACAAGTTCGACAACATTATGATTGATTCATTGCGCTCCGAGAGAGAGAGAGAGAGAGAGAGAGAGTGTGGGGTGGCATAGGGAGCAACAGCGATCTATCTTTAGTATTTTCGATATGGTCAACAATGCATCATGACAACCATGGACTTCCTGTACTATCTCATTTATCAAGATGGGGTAATATATTCTTACCTTCGAATCCTATATATAAATGCTCTTGCTGTATTGAATGTGCAATAATTTCTTTATTCAGTGATAGAAAATATGTTCGAATAAAATTTTATATTAATCCATACTAAATTTTATTTGAAGTAATTTATTATTATTATTATCATACAATATTAATGATGGTATTGTTGTGATTTTTGGTCTTTATTCAGATATTTAATAGAAAGCTTTAACAAATATCGTATTTTAGTTTCGATATTTTTAAAAAAAATTATTTCGATTTTTAATTTTATTTATATTGTGATTTGGTTTGTAGATGTTGAGGAAAGAAAAAAACAGAGAGAGAGAATGTGACGACAAAGTTTCTTTAGATCACTTCAACTATCAATCTTAGTTTGGACTTCTTCATTTTGGAGAGCACTACAAAAAGAGAGCCAATTAGAGACAGATTATTTCGTCACTAATCGCTCTAAATTCATCGCTAATTTTCATTAGCGACGGATGACCTATCTATCGCTATTTTGCTTGTCGCTAATTTTTAGAGAGGGAAAAATCCATTATGTCGCTAAATTAGCGATGAAATTTTCGTTGCTAATCCGTCATTGTTTTCATCGTAGAACCGTTGTGGTTTTTGTCGCTAATTCGTCGCTATATTTAAAAAAATAATAATAAATATTTTTTTCATTTTATTTTGGTTTTTTTAATTATTAATATTGCATTTGATAATTAATAATTAAAATTAGATGTAATAGTTAATAATTAAAAGTAATAACATATAGATTGAAAATGAATTAATTTTAACAATAACATTTGGTAGTACATTCGGTTAAATAAAACGAAGTCACTAAATATTTGTTCTATCACTCATCATGCTCGTCTAATCTTATATCCTCCTTCGATATTGTGTGGAGGGCTTGATGAGAGGATCGAGTAGAAGTCTGAACGGGAGGTCGTGTGAAAGGAACGATAGATTGTCGATCGGTCGACAAATCTATTGGTAACCAATAAATTAAAGATTTCTTAAGAAATAATCAACAAAATTTAACTAAAGTACATACAAAATTATATAATTTAAAAAAAATTAACTTAAAACAAACAACTAAAAAAATTCACCTAATAATTAACACAATTAATTAATTAACTAATAAATAAATTTTAAATAACAATTAAATTTTAAATTTTAAATTTTAATCTAAAAATTAAAAATAAATAAATTAACAATAAATCAACCTTAACTAAATTACTTACAAAATTACATTCATAAAATTAAACCTAAAAAATTAACATAATAAAAAAAATTTATGTTAAAATTAACCTAAAAAGCAACATCATTAAAAAATAACACTTAACAAAATTAAACTAAAAATTAAGAAAATTAAATAAATAATTAACAAATTTACACTAATAATTAACAAATAAATTAACATAATTAAAAATTAACATAATAATAAAATTAATAACATTCAAATAATTAATCAACTAACAATTAACAAAATTAACCTAAAAGCTTATACCATTCATTTAATTTTTTTTTTTAAAAAAAAAGAGTTAAGGAGAGAAAGTTTTACCAAAGAGATCAAGAAGAGAGAGCGAGAGATTTCGTCGGATTTTGAGGGAGAAAGATGCACCACTAAGTTGAATGGTTTGGAGAATCACTTAGTGACGAAGGGCGGCATGAGTGATGGTTTTTTGGCCGATGGTGGATTTTTGGGTAGAGAAGAGAGGGGATCGAATGGGAAAGAAGAAGAGAAACTAGGTATTTATAGGCTCAAAGATTAGCGACGGAATCGTAAATCCATCATAAGTTGAATCATTTAGGTGGGAAAATTTACACCTAAAATTTCAAAATAGTTTCATTGCTAATTTGCGATTTTAGTGGGAAAATTTCCATCAAAATCGCAAAAAATAGCGACAAATTTTCAAATTCGTCACTATTTTTGGTTTCAAATTAGCGACAAAATCGTAAATCCGTTGCTAATTTGAATCATTTGGGTGGAAAATTTTTCACCCAAAATTTCAAAATAGCAACGGATTTCACAATCCGTCTCTAATTTGCGATTTTGGTGGGAAAATTTCCACCGAAATTGTTGGTTTCAAATTAGCGACGGATCACTATTCCATCGCTAATTTGAACCCCAAAAGACATCCCATTATCTTTTATTTAGCAACGAAATAAATCCTTTTCTATTTACCAATTGATGGCAACAAATCTTATTCCGTAGCTAAATTAGTGACGAAAATCCGTTGCTAAACGTGACGTTTTTTTTTACCGCTTAATTTTGCGACGGAATTAATTTCGTCTTTGAGTTTCCCTCACTATTTGGTTGCTAATCTATCGCAAAAATTGCCTTTTTTTCATCCATCGCTAATCCATCATTAATTTATCCGTAATTAGGGACGGAATAGTATCCGTCATTAAAATCTGTCTCTAATTGTCAATTTTCTTGTAGTGGAGGAGAGTTTGTTTATGATGGTTTGAAGTTATGAAATGATCAAAAGAAGGAGAATATCCTAAAATATTCACTTAAGTTTTTGAATTTGATTTAAATTTTTAAGGAAGAATATTTTTGAGTTTTAAGTAATAATTAAAAATAAAAAGCGAAAAAATAGAGAAAGAATTGATTGTTATACATATGAAGCCTATGTACGAGAACCATGCATGCATGGCTTAGCAACAAAAATATATATTAAGAAGAAAAAAATAGAATCCACAAGAAAGAATTAATTGTTATATGTGTCAAGCCTATGCTCAGAAACCATGCACGTATGGATTAGAAACAAAAATATATGTTGAGAAGAAAAAAGATAGAATCCATGTGTTTTATTTATTTATTTTATTTTATCAAAATTAATTTAAATCAATTTTATAGGTATTTTTATTAAAAGTTAACTATGCATATTACACAAAACACATAACATTTCGTATATATATGAAATAAATTTTTTTCATATGAAATATTGATGAGAAATTAATTTTAGAAAATTTAAAAATGTAAAATAGTATGAGATACAGAGTGTAGCGTGGTTTTAACTTAATCGTGCGAAGTGGAGGAAGGCAGGAGCGAAGATAGTATGAGATACAACTGTTGGACACGAGCGGTAGGACGATCTGGAGGGCCACACCCATGATGCAGTGGGTTAAAAACATTTCTTTTCACCTTATTTTTTTCCTCTCTTCCACTTTTCACCTTATCCAAACAATGGGTTAAAAACATTACATTCCACCCTATCGTTTTGTTAAGGTGTATCCATGCAATTGGTATATTTGTTCATTTCATAATCAAAATAATAATTAATTAAATCAGTACGATTAAATACAAACTCATTATCAATACGAAAAATTTTTATTTTAATGGTGAATCGAGTTTGGATCTAATTGATAAAAGAGAAGAAGATAATGTCTGATTTTAAACTAGTGTTTCATAAAAAAAGAAAAAAAAACTCATATGTGATCCTGAATGAGATAGTTTGTGGTATAGCTCCCGTATGTCAAAATACAATAAATCAAGATTATTAGTTGATTTATTATTGCGAATTGGAAAGAACAGTCTAGTCTGTTTTGTTCTATAACATGCATCAAAAAAAAAAAAATCCTTTGAAAGATCAACTCCAACATATAGATTTGGAACTAATGGCACACGATTCATAGGTGTATGTCCCAAACGTTGGACTGTCCCAATATTAAGAGGCTCGTGGATTAAGTGGCGCGTCCCACCCACGATGCAGTGGCCCAGTTGGGTTGTATTTATCAGCCCCATTGTCAATGTGAAAAGTGGCAGAATGTGGTCGAGAACTGAAGGGAAAATTTTGTTCAAAAATTTTGTAGCCTTTTGAGCATGAGGATAGCTCGCAAAAATTTCTGGCTTACTGTGGAGTGCAAATTTATCTCAGTCCTTCGTATTAATGTGTCTATAACAAAGACATGCAAAACTACATAAGTATTCATAGCCAGGTACCTAATTAAATAAAACTTCATAGGATGTCTTGTTTTCGAGAGCAGAAAAGGCCATGTGATCGATAAGATATGCCGTTGTCTGAACGCACTCTCCCATAAAACGAATGTGTAAGTGGACCTGAAAACGTTATATTCCACCGCTCGGTATGTTGTCTTTAAGTAAAATAATATTTTAAAGACTCTTTTATAAAACAAATAAATATTAAACATTATTTAAATGTTATATTTTTTGCTTTTTGAGATACAAAATCTCTAATTAAATTTTTGTATTCAAGTTTACAAAATAAATCTTTTTCAATTGATAATATAGCCGAATTATTTAATCTTTCTTGTGACATAGTTGAACGTAAATAAGATTTTATTAATTTTAATTTTGAAAAACTTCTTTCAACCTAAGCTACGATAACAAGGATAGTTAATAGTATTATATATGCTATCTATGCATTTGGAAAAGAATTTACCTTTTTTATAAAATTTAGTATAAAAGTGATGTTTTCATTTCTATAATTATAATTTCTTTTAAAATTTTTAATTCTGAAAATAAATATAAACCATCAATATCATAAAGCATATTATGCTTTAGAAAGTTTTCAAGATTTAAACACTTTTTTAAAAAAAATTTCATCATCAAGTGATTTTAATTTTTCTACACTATAAAGAAAACCAAAATTATCTTCATATATTTTAAATTGTTCAAACCTATTTTGAAGAGAGAAAATCGCATGATCAACTACATAAGTAAAATAATTAATTCTAAAAGATTCTTCAATAGATAATTTCATATCTTCATTTTCAATTTCATCGAATTATTTCTTTCTTCTTATTGTATGTTTTTCACGAAATTTTTGTTCTATATTCATTTGCTCTGCAATCTCCTTAGCCAAGATCATAAAAGATGTAAACCCATTTTCTCTATAGCTTTTAAAAAAAGAAAAAAGACCGTTCGAGTGGCTTATTGCAAGAGCAATATCCATATCTTTAGATTGTAAATATATATTAACTCGTATTAACAAGCAAATAACATATCATACCAAATAATCATGCCTAATAGAAAATCAAAATTTTCAATCTCATATGTTGCTAAAGAAATAGCTTCACTTTTTGTTTTAGGATCTTCCCTAGTTTATGCTAATTATTATAAAGCATCTCTTATTTGTTGAGCTTGAAATCTAATTGCTTTAACACTTTCAATACGACTTTCCCAACTCGTTTGTGATAATGGCTTAAGTGTCAAATTAGAAACATGATCTTGCAAAATTTTTCATCTTTTTGTAGAAGAAAAAAATAATGAATATATACGTTGTGTCACTCCAAAAAATATCATAACACTAGCACATGAATTAGCCATATCACAAAGAGCTAAATTAAGATTGTGACAACCACATGGTGTATAAAATGCTCTAGAATTTATATCAAATAATTTTTTTGTACACCTTGATGTTTACCTTTCATATTAGACCTATTATCATATCTTTGCCCTCTCACATCATTTATGTCAAGTTCAAGAGTTTTTATCTTAGTTGTAAGTTCATTAAAAAGACTTGCACCGGAGGTATCATCCACTTTTAAAAAATCTATAAAATACTCTTCTATTTTTATTGAAATTGTCGAAATATCTACACATCTTAATATAAGAGACATCTCGTTCTTGATGACTTGCATCTAGAGTACAATCAAGTATAACTGAAAAATATTTTGATTCTTTGATTTTTCCGATAATGGTATTTCTTATTTCTAATGCTAAAATATTTATCAACTCATTTTGTATATTATGACCAAGATAATACATATAAATATCTCCATTTTGAATATGTCTAAGGTGTTCTTACATTATTGGATCAAACTCAACAATCATTTCAATTAAACTAAAAAAAAATTCATTATTGTCCTAATAAATCTTCTCACTACCACGAAATGCCAAATTATTTTTTGAAAGAGCTTTTACAACAACAATAATTCTTAATAATACATTCCTCCAATGCTCTTTCTCTTTATTTATTTTCTCTTGTAAATGCTTATTAATTGTTTTGTTTTTAAGTAATCTCATCCGAGTATCAACCCAAATGTTCATATTAATAACATGTTCATTACTTATCTCATGAATTTAAGTTTGGCACTAAGATTTTTCCAATCTCCACACCCTTCATTTGCTAATTGAATATTTGATTTCAAACTAAATAATTTACAACTATAACAAACATTTTATCTAACTCTTTTGAATATACTAGTCATTTTCTATCATGTTTTTCTCCGTTTGGTAATTTTCAAATGTAGTGAACTATAGAAAAATGTCTAGAATTTTTATCTCTTGGAAAATCTAAAATTTCTCTAATTGGACCTTTCTCAACTAATAAATCAATCGGTTTGAGTCTAAATTTTTTCATTGTGCCGGATCATAAATATTTCTAATTGTTGTTGCATATTCATCATTAATATTTTCACTTTTATTGATTGAAACATCATCTTCTAAATTTTCATCATATTCTTCATTACTTTTTGGTGAATTTGAATTGTTATCTTCAAATTTTTCTTCATAATTTTCAACTATATTTTCATTTAAATCTTTATCTTGTTCTTCTAGTATTTAGGGTTTAAAATTAGCAACAAATCTATCAAGTGCACCTTTTTGGGATTGAATTAGTTCATCTACTTTTTTTCTTACTTTTTTCATATCCATATTCATACTTTCTAGTAGATATTTTATTTAAATAATAAAATTAAAATATAATTATAAAAAGAGTAAGAAACTTTGGCACCTAATTATATTTGTTTGCCGCACCTAATCAAGTAAACCCGGAGAGAATCACCTAAAAAAATAAAAATAAATTTGAGAAAAAATAAAGTATTATATTATTTATATACATAATTTTATTTACATAAATTAAAAAATTAAATTCAGATTCTTCTACCAAACTAATTAGAAAAAGGTTTTATAAGAGATCCTCGATTGTTTGGAGAAAGAAAGGAATATAATAACAAAATTTGAAGATCTAAAAATTGTTTAACTCATAAATATTTTTCCGAAACTTTTCCGTAAGTAAAAGTGTCTTACTAAAATAAAAATTGAAATTTTTTATAAAAAGAAGGTAACTGGAAAGACATCTAAAAAAAGAAGAATTTTTAATATTGAAATAATAATATCTCTAAACAATGGGAGCCTTTCAATGTAGAAACTTTAATACCTATGACCTATTAATAGAGAGAAGAATGGCGTCTCATACTTAGGTGAAGGTCTGCACCTTTTAATTTATATCATTCTTTACCGGTACAAGCTTAAGGTAAAATTTTAATTA